CCAGRTKTATGCAWTGAAAMAGTGGTGGAATGCAACGAATGGTGATTTCCCCCCTGTACACATACGACCGGAATAAGAAGTGATGAAGGATAGGAAAAGGCAATTATAGTCAAAGAAGGAACCAACGGGCCCAGCTCAGTTGGCCCGTTGGTTCACCTCGTGTATTGTTGAAATACAGACCTGCGACGGTCCTGCGTTCCAATCCAGACGGAAGTAGGTGAATAAATTTCTGATTTACCAGGGGAGGTCACTTCCGCGAGATGAGATGATATCTCATGGCCGTCGCCCCTTTTTTTAAGAAAGAAGGACGACAAAGGAGGGAGAGAAGGGGAAGAGGATTAAATCCTTTGGGGCATCCGTGAAAATTGGAACAATACAGCGAAGATTGACTAGCATGGCCCCTGCGCAAGCAGGACACGCATAAATCGAGAAATGGAAGAGGAGGATTAAGAAAATAAAAAAAAAGAGAGACTCACCCACCCAGTACAGTCACTGTGTATATATACCTAAAGAGTCGTTCGTTGTCGGGACTCTTTTCGGAGACGATGCATGGTGAGCCTGCCGCCATAGCCGCCTTCTCCTCCGAGCTTGCAACCTTTCTGGCCATAGCCATGAATGATCCATGTCCCCTACAACAATCGGTCTCCTCGAGTACCTCCTCCTCCTCCTGCTCTTGAAATGGTCGGGGCCACTGTTCCACTGAAAACACCTGTCCGGTAAATAGGCCCTGGCCGCACTGCAGTGGAAATGAAAACAAAACCAATGCATCTTGCCGCTGAATATGGAACAACCCATTGGTTTTCTATAAGGAGTGCCCGATGCACTTTGCTACCTTTCCTGAAGACGAAACGAATGCATCTTCCCACGGAGAATGGAACAATTCATTCGTCCGTTTCCTACTAGTAGTAGCTATTGCATTTTGCCACGTTTTGTGGACAGATGCTTTCTTTTTTTGTTTTCTCTTTATATCTGTTTTCTGTTTTGTGTGCCTTGCCGCCAGGCCTATGGTTACAAACAGTCAGGTTGATGAATGAGCTCGGCACTCTATCACCTTACATTTGGGGTGTGGTCCCCACCGCATTAGTAGAGCCGGATTTGCAATATAAAAGCCTAGCATCTTACAAGCATCTTTAAAATAATAATAATAATCATCATTGTAAAAAAAAAAGAAAGATAATCCCCCCAATGCATATGTAGGTTTTGTCTTTTGCACATTTCTGCGAGCTGTGGGGTCATGCCCATAGATAGAGAGACGGTTTCAGTGGCAACAGAGCAGCCAGCAGGCATCTGCCGTGCAAGTGTGGGATGCACGCTCAGCATTTTTTCAGCCATTGTGGTCAGGTAGCCCCTACCTAGCCTCCTAATTTGGAGGAGGAAGCGATTTGTCTTCTTTCTCTACTTGCCAGGGCCCCTGTACTGGAGGTTTGACACTGGTGATGATGCCTGTGCAAAGAGAGATTGAAGTTCCTCCCAACAACTACTCTACCCCATAGGAGGAGTATCCCTGATCCTAGTAGATAAATTGAGATGTGGGATGGGGCATACTGCCACTGGGTAGAAGGGTTTGCAGAAGGTTCTGAAGTTTTTTTCGCAATTATAAGCTTATGGGTCCGCCCACTCCCTCGTTCACAGAGTGAGTGTCTGCTGGACCTGGTGTTAACTGCCTGCGGAAGTCTCTTTCCCGTTTTCCAGGAAGGTCGTCCACACACTGAAACTATGTTCTTTGTTCTTCCCCCTTCTCCCCCTCCTGTTTAAATTCATTACTATGAGGAAAAACATGTCCCCCACAAGTCACACAGTCATCACATGCGGCACACTTTAAGATTGGGCGTACCCTCATCCTCATCCAAGCTGGGCTGCACCCCCAACCGGAAGTTCTTTTCCCCCTCAGTCTGAAAGTCTCAATTCTTTAAAGCCAACCAATTCAATCCCGTGACAGGATGGCATTTCAGGCATTTTGCTTTAATTACGATATATTACGAGGAAACGCATGCCAGCCACATCCATGTTTTCATGGTGCCTAAGACGGAACATGCAGGGGGGGCTGCACCTGACCTGCAGGGTCAGCCTATAGGGTAAGGGAGCATGCCAAATGGACCAATCACTGCACCTCTCCTCTGGTCCCAATAGCTTATACCTGTTCTCCAAGGGAACAGAAAGAATACTACTACCCACCCACCAGATCTCAAATCTCTTCCAAAATCTGAATTCATCTTATAGTAGCCCTGGGCCAAGGCCCCACTAGGAAGACTATTAGCCGGAATCTGGACGTGTTTGTGGACAGGTGCGAAAAATCCCTGTCGAAACTGGATTATGCATCTCTGCAAAAAGCACATCTAAAGATTCATAACTTAAGACTATACTCACAGGAGGCCCTCAAAATGGCGAAATCACAAAATGAGGGGTCAGATAGAGTCCTCCGTTCACAGGGACTCAATCTGGCCACTGTTTTTGTGATTCTGCAATTCTGAGGGCCTTGTCTGAGTATGCCCTTAATCCGTCCTCTTGGAGTAGTGGGTAGTGGGTAGTGGGCCCCCTTGCTGGTCAAGAACAACCCCCTCTTGTGAAAACCTCTAGAATTTTTTAACATTGGAAAAGAAAATCAATAGATATATTCTTAACCATCACATTCAGAGAACCTGTCCAGCTTACTGACGTACTCTCAGACTCACAGTACAAAATCTTGAGCTGTGAATGTGGCCTCGAGCATCAGCCACCTAGCAATGTATCTACAATGTCTTTCTGGCCAAATACAAAGTAGTCAGCATTTGCTAGGGACCTAGGGTTTGTATGCTTGGTGAGGGCTCTCTCACCATTTTTTAGGACTTCCGACATCCACAGCTTTTTTCTTTTTTCGTCTGAAAACTTTTGAAATGCGGCACTGGGGGCGGGTCCCACATGCGCACCGGGAGGTTGTAGTTTACTTCACGGTGCAACTGTCTTCGCGGCAGGAAAAGGAAATCCAAAATGATATTTCAGTTGCCTTCAGGACTGTGCAGGGTCCCTGCTTCCTTTTTTTTCTTCAGCACAAATAACACCCAAAGGGTGGACCTGTCGTCCTGCAGGCCAAGCTCCCCACCAGCATAACGGAGTCTTCCTGCAGGAGGACATAGACGCGGGGCACGGGCCCCACCGAAGATGGATGGACTCACTCATTCGTCTTCCATGCACACCTCTTACAAATGCATTTTGCCATTTCCTGTCGGCAGATGCAATCGCCCTTTTTTCATGTCCTGTGTGGTGTGGAGGCCAGACCACGGGTTGGAAAAATAAATAATACTCAAAACGTTTCTTTGAATTATCTTGCCATATATTCCTGGTCAAAGTAAAAACAGACTCAGGGAAAACACTGCCGCACCTCGTAGCATTGTTGGAGGATGTGTGTTCAATGCAGCCAACAAAGGCTGGGGCCGGCTGGACACCACAGGACTTGTGATGCTTGGCCAGGCGCTGCACTTCTGCATTTCTCTGCCTCCAACAGGTTCCATAATGTCACTGCTCTGACTGATTAGCAAACATAGGTCTGTCATGTCCACAGATCAAGGCGCACTGTTCCTAACACTGCAACTTTGTCAAAACCGACATTTTATATTTTTTGAACGAAATCAAAGCTCTGCTATGTGACACCCGCTGCCTAGGCCGTGGGCAAATCGGTCGCTGTGGCCGAAAAAGTCGGCCGCAGCCGCGGCCGCCAGGCCGGCAGGCCTAGTTTGCGGCCCGATTTTTTGGATTTTTTTTTGGGGTCAAAAGATAAGTGAAATATATATATATATATATATATGAGGATTGAGCCCTCAAAGGGGCCTTGCCGACATGCATATGTTCTGGGCTTAGGCCCCCAGCAAGCCTCGTGCCCGCCCTAAGTGAAGGCGGGCCAGAATATCCACAAACAGGCCTTTCTTTCAACATCTTTGTACAGTGGGAATCAGACAGTTGCAGCACGCCAGTTGGTTGGAGTGCATCGTGAAGCCCAGACTCCTGCGAGAAGCAGTTGAGCCCAGGGCCTGAGTTGGTTGAGCCCACCCGGGTACAGGTACCGGGGCCCGGGCGCAGGCTCAAGGCAGGCCGCCCACACGCGACAGTGGCATATAGGCAGAGCAGCCGGGTGGGCGGGGATCTTGGCCATTGCGAACAATGCCGGCACGCTGAAGCACTGTGAGGTGCTGCACTGCGCTAGGCTGAGGCAGAGGCAGGCTGGCGCTAAGCGGTAGGGCGCAGCCTGGGCGCAGGGCGCTGGCGTCCATAGCCGGGCTGCCTGAGAGCGCAGAAGGAGGTGAGGGTGAAGGTGGTTCTTCGGAAGGTGAAGGGCGCTGTGTGGGATAACAAGGGAGAGTGAGAGTGAAGAGAGAGACGTACCTGGTGGAGAGGAGGTCGGCATTGGTGTTGACGTCATCACTAGCTGGTTTCAAGTTGTCTGGTTGCTTTCATGCTGTGGTTGTAGGGATAGGCTGTAGAGTAGATAGGGCGCCTGGCGCCATTCAAGAGAGAGAGCTACATTGGGTTATGCTGTTGGTGTTGCCCGATTGGGCTTGGACATTGACTCACGATTCTGTTGTATCGTTCTCAAATGGATGGTTACTTGGTTCCATTGTGCTATCTGCTCTTGCTTTGGCTACTTGGACTTCAGTGTGATTTTGCGATTTGGATTTCTGCGCTTCGTCCACATTCATGTTCCTTGCAATTTGGTATCGGAGCTGGTTCGATTCACCGCTTACCTTGGTGCGCTGGCGTTATACAAACTTGGTGTGTTGACAATGCTTCTTCGCAGTTGGATCTTGTGACGTCAGGCCATATGAGGCGCACGACCTGGGTAGAGAGGTGTGCGCCAGAAGGCTATACGACATGGGATGTCGTGGATATGGCGGAATGTATGATTGGTGATGAGAGCATGCTGATGTGACATTTAGCTGAGGTGGCATTTAGCTGAGGTGGCAGTGCATTGCATTCTGGGTGGTACCGAGGCTACGACCGGTCATCAAATGCACTCTCAGCTCAATTGGTGAGAGATCTGTGGTTGGGGGCAGCTATCTTCAGGTACGTTGTTCCCTTACCTTATCTACTCTCTCAATCTCTTCTTACCGCGAGGAAGTGAGTCCAACTTGAGAGTCCTCTCTTTTGGTGAGGTGTCGTGAGCGCTCTACCTTGAGAGACGACAATCTTCCCGGTGGCGCATCTGGAAGGAGAAAGGGCAGTGCCTCTGAAGGGCCCTGGTCGAAGCACATGGGTCATGGTCACCATGCCAACCCAATGGGATTAGTTCACGCATGCGATAACTGCTTTGTCCATAAGGGCACTTTGCTGCGCTGATAGAGGGGTGTGCGGACTGAACAGGCTTATGCAGACGCTCCCAGACCGTCTATAAACATTTCTGGATGCGGTTCTGATCTAATACTAGCTGTGATCGCCGTCCTGATTGCGACGTTAAATAATTCCTGAGCGACCTTGGGGGCAGTCCTTAAATAGGCCTCTTGATCAGCCAGATCAGTCGGACGTACGACTCGTTGCACGCGAGGATAAAGAATGGGCAAGCCTGGTCATAAGCATGCACCTGGGGCACAGGTGTGGGC